TAAATCTCAACGATGCATGATAGGCTGCGTCAATCATGTGAAGGCATTGAGCAGATGAATGCATATATAATATATCACCATAATCCAACACAGATAAAAAAGTGGATGCCACTAAACGTTTTTTAACATTAAAAGAAAAGCACGACTTATTTCGAAAGTAAAAACCCAATTTTAGCCTCAACTTTCTCAATAGACAGTGAACATGAGGCTTAAATGATAGGCAATCATCAATAACAATACCAAGATACTTATAAGTTGTAACAGTCTGTATTTCACGTCCATCAAGAGTAATCACTGAGGGAATATTCAGTGATCTATTCCGATGACCTGTGAAAAGCATACATTTGGTTTTGTCTGCATTGAGCACAAGTTTCAACTGTAGCAAGGTGTGTTGGACCATATTGAAGGCATTCTGTAAATGTGCAATAGCTTGTGTAGAGAATCGAGGCGAATCAAACACAACTTAATCAAATTAATCTCTCATGGGATTAATTCACATGGATTCAACACTCCAAAGGTTCTGGACACCACATTCCAAAGTCCCAAGGCGACTCCATGCTGTCTGCAGAGAAGGACTTTTATTGCCCCACAGGCCCAAGAGATGGGCACTAAACAGGACGAACGTGTCAATATGTTAATGTTTTACCAAGACAATTTGGCTCAGAAATGGTGGAACAAGAGGCCTGAACACCAAAAGCCTGACCACCTTTGACCTCCCTCAACATCATCTCTGTTGAGCGGGACAAAGACGTAACACAGACCCCTACTCCTTGAACATACCACGACCTCACTGTTGAGATCTCTCCAAGATCTCACGCATAAAATCATATAAACTCACCACAGAACAATTCTGGGACGCATAATCAAACCTCACAATTCTTATTGCTTCATGCAATTCATGTGTTGTGTTTGTTAATGCTTAGATCGCATATTAATCATGTAATTGTTGTTAACTATTAACTCTTGTAATTATTATACAACCATTAGAAGTGTGAATGCCTCGTTTACTCTTAAACGAACCGTATTCTCCTAATTCAAAAGATGGCTTGATTGAAATCTGCGTAAAAGGTTTTGTTTTATGATTATAATAATCATAAGGTTTAAACTAAGGTCTTTTGTCTCTCTGCTAAGTGCTGGAGACCAGCTCACAGACCATGCGTAATTTATGATAAGCAAGAAGTAGATCCACCTCCTAAAGTCATGCCATTACCTCATTGGCCAGAAGTTTCTAGGAGGTTGGACTAGAGTTTAAGTTAAAGATCCAAACAAAGGAACAAGACCTCATGCTCATGTTAATGTTCGGTTCCTGTTAGATTTTTGTTCGTGTTTCCAGTTTGTAACTGTTAAGTTCGTGCCTCTCTCTAAAACAGCAAGAGAGTGTTCTGTTCGTGCTTATCTCTGAAACAAAGAGCGTGTTCGCATGCTTCTACATTAGACCAAATTCGACCAGCAGACGAATAACCCATCAAGATCAGGGTTACAATTCAGCTCATTCAAGCCATCTGACTCGCCTTACTTTCATTTCTTTCCTTTATTTCCTTTTTCGTAAAAGTCTCGTTTCAAAGTTAAGTTTGCTGCAAAGCTTCGTTTTAAACGGCTCTCCGCAACGCGCTTCGAAATCGTAAAGACTTTTCATTCGGCTGCTAGTCACACGTGACCGGCAAACTCAGGAACTTCCATCCCTGCACTTCAAAGACAACCCGCCACGAGGACCCGGGGAACCGCCCTTCTGTGCAACACAACAAAGGAATCCCCTAAGCCACGCAAAGACACAAGCAAGTACTCCAGACTCTTAGCTGAACTGGTGCTTTAATGTAAATTGAATAACCTCTCTAAGAAACGAAGGTTTAAATTAACGCTTGGTGGTCCTTTTAGGTCATGTCTTACGTGCATATAGAAAGTTGAAACTTTCTCTCTCTCACTCTTTCCAACTCACTCTTCCCTCTTCGCGACTGTATGTGTGTGTGTGCGTGATTAGGTTTAGACCTTAGTTTTGTGTTTAGAATAGCTAATAAAGTCTTCCATATATTTGAAAAGATACATTTTCTTGCGTCGTGTTTGCACATTTAATGTCTTGTACTGTTAGATCTAAAGTTACCTTGCTAAGACACAGTGTTTCACTATAGATTTGGTATTTATATCCTTGCAAAGGTTATTATTACGGCCCGTTCAAATGAATTCTAAGCGAATCATTTGCTCGGTTCAGTGATTCGGTTCCATAGATTCATTGCAAATCAATGAATCATTTCCCTTTGAGCTAAATTGGCCTTCGGCCCCCTTTAATACATTTTATGTATATTATTATATGTTGCATTTGCTACACTTGTGTAAGAGAGGGTGCACAGCAGTAAATAACTGTGTCATCTGCATAAAAATGAAAGTTTGCATCAGGCACATGCCAATTAAGATTATTTATATAAATAGTAAATAAAATAGGGCCTAATACTGGCTCTTTAACCTGGACAATCAATCACCCAGATCACCCTGGCAACATCCTAGCTACACAGAACACTCTAGCAGCACAGTGGGGAGTGTTTTTTTATGGGCAAGCACTTTTCACATTCTCAGAAAAGGTAAAAAATTTGTGAAAACAAAAACTGTTGGGTCCTCATAATCCCTGTAGTGTTTCTGCCCTCTAGATGTCACTTATGATGATTCTGCACTTTCAAAAGTAACTAGACTCTTGCGATAGCTGCCTGTTAGGACACACACATACACGTAAGAGGAGGTGATAGTTTCTAGGCTCTTCTATCAACCCTTCATGGCTTTTTATATCATTCTGTATCTGGTCTCAGACACCCTTCGCAACCTTCTGGCATAACGCCCAATGTCGTTTCTCCCAGTTCCTTTTAACCATGTCGCTCTGTGACCTATTTTTCTGTCAGCTGAGATTCCTTCTCAATGTCCTTTCTTTTATAACTGATTTGCATTGTTTCTGTTCATTATGTCAACCCAAAATGATCTTAATGATAAATCACTAAAAAAAAATTCCAAGGTACCAAAGAATTATTTTTAAGGCATTTGTTTCCACCATCACTCAATATATAGGTAAAAACTTTACTTTAAAATTACTGTCATGTACATTTTTTTATTATAATGACATATCTAGTTTTCAACACTGAACTGCATGCTCCGCTCCCAGACAAATAACACACAGCTCGTGACCATCGCCATGCATCAAAAAACGAGGGCATGGAGGAACACGTTTGAATATCTGCTTACCTTCTATTTTTATTTCTTTCTTTACACACACAGCTATCTTCAAGCGGCTACACAAACAAGCGGCTTCCTGATGACAAAGAATCTTATCACGTGTTCTTAGGCACCCTTCTAATTCGCCAGGGCTCACCTTGCGACGTCATCGCACTGTGTTGGCCATTGAATGGCGAGTTTGTACACGTGCCTCAGACACCAGGTTCCACTAGGATGGGTCATAGCATCAGCAGCTGATGCAGTGTAGAAGTTCCCTCAAAAAGGAACTTAAAACAATCTGCACATAAACATATTATAATCACACTTAGCTGTGCTTTTTATAAGTAGTATGTGTAGTGGATATAGTAATGGTGTTTCTGTCGCTATCAAGCTCCCTCTGTTTGAATGAAAGAGCAGAGCAGATAAGGAGGGAGGGAGTCAGCCAGGCAGAAGTGGACTTATTTGATTCTCAGGAAACAATTCACTGTGGTATATGGTTCTCAGACCTATGTCTATCTCTCCATGGTCGATTCCCATCAGGAGGGACCTTCTGTCTCAGGCAGGGGGCAAAAACCTTCCGGACTAATGGGTTTGGCCCCTGAGGGGTCCAACTCATGAACACTGATCTTCATAACTTCACTACTTCTGACACATCGTCTCGTTCCCTTCTCAGGGAACAATGGTTACAGTCGTAACATGAGACATGTTCAATATAAATATAAACAGTACATATATACATATATATATATAAATATGCATCTGTATACATATAATATTGCTTTGCTTTCTCACTGAGGCAGGCAGCTCAATGACCTTCACTTCTAAGAATCAATTTTCATCTGTTGTGATCTGTCCCTTTCTTCCCTCTCAATGTTTTCATCTCTGTTTAGTGCTGTTTTCTATTTGCTCTTACATTGACTACATTATTTTCTGCTCAATACTTTCTGTATACAGCTCTCTTTTAAACTCTGACATTCTTCTTCCTTATTTGCCTTTTCGCTTTTTGTGAAACTCTTTTGATTAAGTAGCCTATTAAATTGTTTGAAAACACATTGTTTGAAAATATTGATTTGAATATTGATATAAAACAGATATGTTTCTAATTTTGCATGTCTACATTTTTGTGAAGGCTAGTCCACTGGTAGTGTACAGGAATATACTTTAATTCTACTTTACTGTTTACCCACCACTGACTGAATTTTCCCGCTCTTCATGTTTTCACTGTTGTAAGGAAGGGGGCGCTATGACACATCTTCTAGTACAGAATCTCCAGATCAAAACACAGGAGTAGAAGAAGCCGAAGCAACGATTCTCCTTTCCCCCACAATGCATTGCATTACATCACCTTGGGGAAAGAATTTACCAAAGCTTACCTTGAGACTGAGAGCGTTGAAAATGACTAGAGAGACGAGTAGTAGACGAAAGTATTCAAATAGTGCAGATTATAGATAAATAGATGAATACATAGACTAGATAGATACTGTAGACTACAGTAGATATATATAGACAGGTAGATAGATATAGATAGGCTAGTATAGAGAGAGATAGGCCAGTAGCACCTCATTGCAGTACACAAGATCTAGGGGCCGAAGTTGGATCCAGATCTAAGGGGTGGAGATGGGTAGGATTAGGGGTGTGGTTAGGGATCAGGGGGTGGAGATTTGAAGGATTAGGGATCAGAGGGTGGAGATGGGAAGGATTAGGGGTTAGGCGTCATTTTCCATTTGCAGACTTCAATATTAATTTGTGGGATGGCATTTTATTCACGTAATCATGTTGACCGTACGCGTCTCTGTCTATCTGTGTAGTTTGGAGGTGGAGAATGGACCCTCTATCGGCTGCAGTCCATTGGACCTACAAGTGTCACCGGGCTCGGGTATGGTCCTGCATCCCAACATGGCCAGTCACGGGCAACGGCGAGAGTCTTTCCTTTACCGCTCAGACAGTGACTATGACCTCTCGCCCAAATCCACCTCTCGCAACTCCTCCATTGTTGGAGAACAGTTGTGAGTAAAAACTCAGCACTTTACACCTTTACTGACACAATAATACACCACTACTGGTACAATACATCAAAGGAGCTTAATCTGTGAGCCAAATACAATGTACTTTTTGTGTGTCCATGCATTCTTTCCATTTAATATTGACCAAAAAACTCCAATGGAAGTCGAAGTTTGGGATTGTAAAAAGTGTCGAGAAATACTATAGCAAAATGTAAAAAATGAATAAACATCCTTCATTTACACAGAAAACAGCAATAATTATTTGTTAGTACAGAGTACATTTTACATTTTCTTGTGATCTCGAAGTTGTTTTATTTTGCTCTTGACATAAAAAAACAATTATAATTGCAATTTGATATTACACATTCAATCTTTTCTTCAACATTACATGATGTGGAGAACAAATCTGAGCAAACAAGCTTAGTTTCATAAATTTATGATGCTTTCTAAACTGTGCTATTAATGTTGCCTTCTAGAGGATGCCACAGGAGTCTTTAATAATTTTCTATCAGTTTCCATCCCTTTGAATGGAAACAAATGCATAGATCTAGTTCATGCATCTGATGCATTTATGCATTTAATTTGATCTTTTTTTATTCATTTTATCATTTATTTGTAGCTTTTAAACTACTTGTACATTTATTTGTTTGATTTTACCATAGTTTGACTTTTATTTACTTAATTATTGATTTTTTTTACTTATTTTAGTTTTTTATTTGATATATGTTTTAAAATAAAAATATAATAAAAATGCCTTTTTTTCTATCATTTTTTTTCAATATTGATTTATTCTTTCATTGATTTATTCCTCTATCTCTATATATTTTTAATTTTGGCAGATTTGCAGCGATATGTGACTTTTGTCAGGCTGAATTTTGCAGTTACCTTATATGATTTGATCTCACAGTACTTTTTTTATACTATTGTTAATTTTCTCATCTTATTTTTTTTAGCCTCCATGCACGGAGAAATAGTCCTTGACAAATTATTTCACCTCTTCCAACTCCCAGCGTTATTCTCCTTACCGTCCAGATCCAATGCTGCCTTATCTTTAAATTAGGCTATTAGTATTATTTGAAGTTAACATTATAAAATACGTAGACCTACACCACAAAACTAGTTGAGGATAAATTATTTAAAATTGGGGAAGTCCAGCATTATGCACATGCCATTTGCAGTCAAAACTTGAAATAAAAATTCTCAGAAAATACATGTATTGAAACGTATATAGGCTACTTCCTCTAAGGACTCCAGACATTAGACAAATATCAGTCTATGTTTTATTTTTAATATTAGGGAAAAGACACATTCATGCGTGACAAAAAAAATAGGCAAAATATATTTTTTGTAATTCTGTTAATTACACTGCGCAAATCGGATGAGGAAGGGTTGGCTCTCCAGTCTTCATAGAACTTAAAATATTCATTTTATTTTAGTTTTCGTGTTCGCATTTATGAGGAAAAAACAATGTTACAGACGCGACCGCTCTGAACCGGCACTAAAAGACTGCTTTAAAACTTTCACATAGTCTGTTGCCTTTAAGAAATAAAAGCAGACAATACACTGTAATACAACTGTAATACAAGCCTCACTGAACATGTAACGAGTAAAATATTACTGAAAATTGATTAGTAATGCCTTACACTACTGCGTTACAGCAAAAAGTAATATGTTACAGTAATGTATTACTTTTGTAATGCGTTACTCCCAACACTGTATATCACTAATAAAGTAATTTATTTAATTAGTTATTTATTGTTTTGTGCTCTTTGGTTTTCAGACATGGGGAAGATCTGATAGTCACTCCTTTTGCTCAGGTACGTTTGGCTTTTGCTTCCTGGAATGGAAGACTATAATGAACAAAATGTGAATGATTTTACACATGTGGAGTGTTTCACGTCCTATCTGTTTTGCTGTTGTTTTATTCAATAGGTGCTTGCAAGTCTTCGCACTGTTAGGAATAATGTCAGCTTCCTGACAAACGTGCCATGTCCCTCCAGCAAGTAAGTGACATTTACATGCCTTTCATGAAATGCAATATGAGAAAATACCACAAGAGGGCAGAACTCAATTAATATGTTTTGTCAGACTGGATGGAGATTAGACACTAACTTACTGTACTGGCCTTATAATGACAATAGTAAATGTCTAATGACATCTATTGATGCTAAGTCTAGTTAGATCAGATGGTGATGGAATTATCCGTTTCTATTGAATGTTCTCATGTATTTTCCTGCTCTTCTTTCTAATGTATTTATTTTTCTGCTTCACTTAATAGAAGATCACCAGTCAGCAGTCAACCGCCAATGACCAAAGGCAACCTGTCAGGTAAGATCTTCTGAATCCATTCACAGACGTTAGACTGAGGACTGAGTCTGTGAACTTCAATGTAAATTACTCCTATCATCTTCACTTGAAGGCTTAACGACTATGATTTGCGTTACGGATAAATATAAAATGGCAAACTACTTATTGGTTAGGTTGAGAGAGCGTTAAAGGATACTGGGGAAAAGGGTAATCTCAGTGGAAGATGTAAAATGTTTCAAATATGATGTGGTCACCTGTCAGGAGCCTCTTCGTATTTCACCACAAGACAGACATTGGGTAAATTAAGTACAAATGATTTTGTTATTAAAATCAGCATAAAGGCCCAGTGAAGTAGCTTGACAATCTCATGTGTCTTTGCTATGTTTGAGCAGGACATATTGAAGGACCCAATCAATCATTCGAAAAATTGTGTATGCTTATGCTCGAGTCCAAGATGAGCCGTCAATATTTATATCAGTTAAGTAAGAGTAATTTCTGTATTTAAAGGCGTCCTTGATTATGATTTCACTTTTTTACCTTTAGTTGTTGCTGTTTTCGCATAAATAACATCTGCAAAGTTACGACGCTCAAAGTTCAAAGCAAACGGAGATATTTTCTTTTGCAGAAATTGCTTTTTAACAAACGGCTGGTAGGGACTACAACAAGCTTTTTCCCGGGATGGTGACATCACAAACCCTTACATATCCACAAACCCTTCCCATGAACACACAATAAAGGGGGTGAGGCATTTTTGGGCTGCTTTAGAGAAGAGGAAGAGTTGTTGTTGCTGTTTTTTACACCCCGGAAAACGTTTGCATATTAAGCATCATTTTCACAATGCAGTGGGAAAAAAATCCTTTATATTCTGGGTTGAAAAATATCACGGGCATGTTCTTGTTTTTGTGAAACGAAGCAGCAGGTGTAGTTGTGCACATTTTAAACACTCCCTTATCACTGTTAGTACAATGGCCACCGCTACTCTCTCCATCTGCGCGGCCTTAAAATCCCACCGTCTCTGAAGAAAAGAGAAATGTGGGTGAGAGTGTGGGTGGAGGGGGGAGAATGAAAGTTTGAGTAAGATAACATGCTTGCATGACTCTTACACTCACACAAACCACAGAGACGCAATGTGCGTAAAGGCAGCACCGCGACGCATATATAAAGCTGTTTATTGCATGCATGTGTGTGTGTGTGTGTGTTTGAGCGGGTGTGAATTGTCATGCGTGCGTAAGCATGCAAGAGGAGAATTATGTGTGCACAGCTGTTAATAAAATTCATGAAACTGTTCAGAGGTTTGTGCGAGATAGATCATATTTCACCCCAAAATCAAAAGAAAGAAATACTGAGAATAAAAATATATATGATGTATTATTTAAATTAGTGAAATTGCATTTAATTGCATTAATGGAACCATGTATGTGTGGGCATATTTTTTATTTAGACCTACTAGAGAAACAAAACAACCACACCAAAGATCAAATACACACATATATGGACTTTTTATATACTAGGCAATATTTCTATTGCATATATATGCTTATTTTGTGATTGCATTGTTCCAGCCCAGTTTTTATTTTATTGTGATTAATGGGAATATTTATTCTCAATTGTGATTAAGGGGAATATATATATATATATATATATATATATATATGAAGAGTTCAGATGCAAAAGCCTCTAAATGCCATTTGAAATTTTCTTCTAAAATGGTCATTTTTATCAAGCTTGTATATTTAAGTTCAGTAATGTCACTTAAATGTGTCATTTAAGTGAAATTACTGAACTTAAATATACAAGCTTGATAAAAATTCTAATTTTAGAAGAAAATTTCAAATGGCATTTAGAGGCTTTTGCATCTGAACTCTTCATATATATATATATATATATATATATATATATATATAATTATAATATAGAATATATATACAGTAATCGTCCTAAAACAGGCCTTTTATGCAAAATGTAATTCCTTTTTTTTCTTATGTGAGGTGAAATGTGAGATTGTACAATATTTATATAAGATTTGGACAAGTGGTTTTTGGTTTATGCTGCAAAAAAAAAAGCGTGGTAAATGCCTGCAGGTGTGTTTATTTGTGCGTTGTGTGTGCGTGTCTGTGTCTGTGTGTGCACGCTCCAGGTGTAAAGGCTTGCGCCACTGATCTACTGAGCTGAGAGCTGAGAGTGGAGAGGAGGGGAGGGGAGGGGGGGGGGGGGGGGGCAAAGGATTGTGGGATGTTTTGGTTCCTGTTTCAGAGGCCTCTTAGCCTCATTGACGTCATTCACCACCCACCTACCAATACCTTCACTTCCTGTGCGTTTGAAAGCGTAGACGCCTCATGGTCCTGGCAGGAAGACACACACACATACACACACACTCAAATGCTGAAAATGGTGGAAAACTCTGCTCACGTACGTTGCACAAGCATATTAAGTACGAAATCAGAGTATACTGTATTTAATGTTGCGCAGTCCTCACACAGGCTGCTGTCCCTGATGTGCGTAATAACACAGCATGAGGATGTTGCTGTTGTTTGATCACGGGGGCTTCATTGCCTAATAGTTTAACTGAAGTGTTTCATGACTAAATGTTTGACTTTCACTTTGACAAATTTTTACAACAGGTTAACTAATTTACATGGCGAGGCTACATAAGGGCCACTTATGTACACTTAAAGGAGTAGTTCACTTTTAAAAAAAAAAACTTTTGCTGATAATTTACTCACCCTCATGTCATCCAAGATGTCCATGTCTTTCTTTCTTCAGTTGAAATGAAATTAAGGTTTTTGATGAAAATATTCCAGCATTTTTCTTCATATGAACCAAACGGTTCAAGGTCCAAAAGACAGTTTCATTGCAAACTGTTCAAAGTTCTATAAACGATTCCAGACGATGAATAAGGGTCTTATCGGCCATTTTTAAAAAAATAAATAAATAAATAACAAAGTTTAAGTTTTATAAGCTCAAATGCTCGCCTTGCTCTGTTCTGTGATGCGCGTTCGTGACTCTCCTGTTTGAACTCATTCATCAAAATGAACGGATCTTTTTCCGAGACAATTCGTTCATTTTGTTCGTTGAATGAACCAAATGACTCAAAAAAAATTGTTCCTTTTGTTCGAGTTCGAAAAGGAGACACACGAAGACCCTTATTCATCGTCTTGAATCGTTTGAAGCCCTTTGAACAGTTTGCAGTTTGCACTGAAACTGTCTTTTGGCCCTTGAACCGTTTGGTTACCACCAGTAAAGTGCATTATATGGAGAAAAATCCTGGAATGTTTTCATCAAAAACCTTAATTTCTTTTCGACTGAAAAGAGAATGACATGGACATCTTGTATGACATGGGGGTGAATAAATTATCCGCAAAAGTTTTTTTTAAAAGTGAACTACTTCTTTAATCAAATGAGATACAAAAATTGTTGGAAAGGAGACAAAAATTATGCATACATCACAATTAATCACTCTAATACATGTATTTAGCGGATGTCACTCACAAAACTTTGCATGTATGTGGCTGCTGGTCAAGCATGAAAAACTAAAGATTTAGTCAAATTCTGAATTTATTATATATTGCCTAGAAAGTGTGCAAAGAGTGCTCTGCTCAGGTTAGGGTATTCTAACTTAAACACCTCTGATTGGACATTGCGTTCAAGAAATCAACAGATATGTTTGTGATTGGCTACATTGTTCGACTCTGTAAAAACACGTAAATAGAATCCTTTGCCGCTCTCCAGAGCGCAAATACCAATAAGCAAGGGATTGTTTGCCAAATCGCCAATATGCTGTAATTATGGAGAAAACTGATCCTGGACCTGCTCTAAAAGCAAGAAGCAGAAGTCAGTTTGAGTTAAACAATCCCACTATCAAGTCACCACGGGAAGGCTAAGAAATTCGTTTTCTTTAAAAAAAAAAAAAAAAAAAAAATTCTGGCCTTGCAACTGATACATACGCCTACATTAAATAAATAATTAATTTAAAGGGATAGTCTGTCCAAAAATGAAAGTTGTTGTATTTCTTAAAGGATTTTTGAAAATTTTGGAATATAGCTCTAAGGGAATGAAAACATCCTGCAAAGATTTATATCTGAATGTGCACCGTATATAAAGTTATTGTCTTTCAAAAGTGAGAGTCGACTCTGAGTCTATGAAATGAATTGTTTTTGAAACGAGTCATTAGCTGTTACATCGTGACATAGAGAGGTCATTGGCCGCTCTCAACAACTGCGCACGCAGACTTGAAGTGACGTCTAGAACACATTCAAATACTTCAGCTGTGTTCTACATTGCAAAGACAGTTCAGCCACTTGTTTCCATTGTCCAGGGACGAGCATGTGAAGAATCAGTGGTCAGAGTTCATATTTGCAACGCCCGAACCTGAACCCTCAACATTTTAATGACGAATCATTCAAAATTCAAAAACATAAATGGTTGTTCCCGAAGGAGGGCTCAGTATCCAGTGTTATGGATCAGGTTCGTCCTCCTCCGAATCACAATCTGTAAGTAATATTGATAATGTTTGCTGTTAGGTTTTCTGTAGCATGCAGTATAGTTATATTGTGTTGTGTGTGTTGTGTACACTCCGCGCAGCTTCTAAGCGAGGTAAAGTTAGTTTTGTTTTTGATATTCACCAGACATTCTTTGAAAAATGGCAATTACCTCCTAAACGACTTAGTCAAATACTTCGCTCTATATAATAAGCACTGCCCCTCAAAAGCCGCCACAATGTGAGTATCGCCGGGAAAGCTTGCTCTTGACGGACCGTAAGGGACCGTGTGGAAAGTGCACTTTTTCTGACTTTTTTTTGTTCAAACACTATATACAATTTTCAACACTTGACAAGCTATAATCCTGGATATGGGCGTTCCGTTGCCGACAGTCTCTGCCTACGGTTTACCAATAACAACTGACTGGGTCATTTGACCAATCGCCACAGATTCGCGTCACTCAAAGGAGGTGTTTGGGAAAATGAATCGTCGAACGAATCATTTGGGAGTCGGTGAGCAAATCAGTTCAAAATAAATGCATAT